TCCACAAGAAATCCAACCCTGAGACCCCAGGACGTCCATGGATTCTTGGTGTGGGAGCGTCGCGCTCTCCACAGGAAGACCATCGAAATTTCTTGGCATGGGTCTCTGCTGTGATCTTCAGGGCCCTGGGGCTTCCGTTCGCGCGTGTGCCTGGGCGCCTCTGGGACAGCTGGGGGCTCCCCTCCCTGCCTGTCCCGAGACCCAGGAGCCTGGCCGGGAATCCATGCCTCCGGTGTGCTCGAAGACGGCTGCGGGCTGCCGTCCTGGAGTGGCCTGGAAAAACATCCAACTTGAATCAGCGATTTTTTTGTTGTGGTCGCCTTCGGTGTTCTCACAGCTTCTGGCCTCCCGGGGTCGCTTTCGGGCCCCCGGGGCCATCAGAAACGGACCCGGGATGAAAAATCTCCTCCTCCTCCTCCTCCTCCTCCTCCCTCCTCCCTCCTCCCTCCCTCCCTCCCTCCCCCTCCCCCTCCCCCTCCCCCTCCCCCTCCGCCTCCTCCTCCTCCTCCTCCTCCTCCTCCTCCTCCTCCTCCTGCTGAGGGCGCATGACTCGAAGCGCTGCTGGCGCTGTGGCGCGCGACCGAACCAGTCGTCGGGGTCCTCGGGACGATTGCTCGACACGACCTGCAAGAGCTGCAATACTTTTTCGGCGGGGTGCGGGGCCACTTTTGGAGTCTCATGGGCCGTCTCGGATGCGGGGGGCGGGCTGGCTGGAGGGGGCAACATCGCTCAAGCACGCCTTCTGCTCACTGGTCCCACCATTCTCGCCATTCTGGCCTCAGACGCGTCCAAGACAACATAAGGGGTATCTGAAAGGCTTCTTCCAAGCGGGCCCCCAGAGAGGCCCAATAGGGGTTCCGCTAACGGACCCCGTGAATGGATGGGGATAAGCCCCCTCCTCTCTCAAAGATGGCCCCAGTACCTTTACCATGCTCCCGAGAGGCCTCCAAGGGTTCCCACGAGGTCCCGGGGAGACCCCTAAGTGGCCACCGAGAGGCCCCGAGCTGGTCCACATCACCAGACACTGCAATACTCCCTAACATGTTCCAAGGAGCCCTCCACGTGGGCTCTCCAACGACAGGGCTGGGAAAGCTGTATTGGCCTCGACCTTTCCCATTGTGTCCTCGACCCGCAGCTTAGGCAGCGTGGCGGGAAGGGCCGACGGCCGCTGGATAGTTCTAGAAAGCAAAACCCGATACCGTGGTATCCAGCACGACCCCACATAATACGCCACCGCACAACGCAAATCAAACCAATGGTATTCAACACGACGCTGAGCGACAACACGCAGCACGGCACTCGGCAATCAATTACGACCTCAACGCCGCACGGCTTTGCATTGGTCGACCAGCTCCGAGCCCATGATCAACCGCACGTAATCAAACCATCTTTACTTTCTAGACCAAGTCTCGGTCTCCAAGAGACAACACCTTGGTCGGCCTCGGACCTGAACGAATGAATGACGTCACTCTCCGTCGCTCAATCCATGATCTGGCAGAATCGTGTGATCCGAGGACGCTAAGCCCGAAACGCAGATGCTGCAGCGCAAGCTGCACGGTGCATGCCCAATGAAGGCCACCGCTCCCAGGCGTTCTGACAAGGTCGGAAGGCCTCTATCGCGTCCAGCTCCCCCGCACCACTGGAGCCGCCGACGACGACGAGTTGGCCCTGGACGCACGCGGCAGCGCAGCGTGAGCGAGCAGAAGGCATGTCTGGAAGCCTCCGCCAGCACCTCTTGGCGAGGTCGAGCGCCTCCGCGGAGGCCAGCACCCGTCCCCTGCGCCACCCGCCCGCGACGCAGACTCCCGCTCCAGGAACGAAGGCCGCAGCACAGCCCGCCCGGCACACCTCCATCGGTGGCAGCTCTGCCCAACTAGCTCTCTGCTCGCTGCCGCTGACGCCCGGGTCCAAGCACTCGGCAGCGCACAGGGCGGAGGCGCAATCGTTCCACCCGCCGATGACGTAGACCGCCCTCCCGTCGGATGCGGCGCTGCAGCGAGATCGCCGAGTGGGCATGGGCAACAACTCGTCCCAACGGCCGCGCGCGAGGTCCAACCGCGTGGCGTCGCCCAGCTCGCGCCGTCCGTCATTCCCGCCCACCACATACACAGCGCCTCCGAGAGCTGCGGCCGCACAATTCACGCGGGGCGTTGGCATGGGGGGCACCAGCTGCCACCTGGACCCAGCGACCAGCTTCAGGGAATGGCATGTGGACACTGGCCCTCTGCCGCCGCCGTGGCCCCCAAACACATATCCGTCACCATGCCTCTGGGCACGGAGTAGACGTGACCTCAGGTCCTTTCCCTAATCCTCTGAGCCTGAGTCCCCACTCCTGAGTCCCGTGGGGGCCTCGGGCCCAAATTGCCAAATCTTCTTGAACTTTCCGCGGCTTGTCGGGGACTTCCCGCATCTCTTGTCGCGTGACTCTTGCGGGCCCAAGAGGGCCCCAAGACGGGCCAAGAGGGTCCCGAGGGGCTCTCAAGATGGCCCCAATACGCCCAAGATGGCCCCAGACGGCCCAAGAAGCCTACAAAACGTCCCAAGAGGCTTCCAAGAGGCCCCCCAAGAGGGCCTCAAGAGGCCAAAATCCAAGACTTCCCACTGGTTTCTGAAGGATTTGGGCGTTCTCGTCTTTTCGGCTTCCTTACGCTCCAAGACTGCCCAGGAGGCCCCCAAGATCGCCCCAAGACGGACCCAGAGGCCTCCGAGATGGCCTTAAGACGGCCCAAGAGGGCTCCAAGACGGCCAAGAGGATTCCAAGATGGCCCAAGAAGCCAGTCAGACGGTCCCAAGAGGGGGACCACGAACCGAAAACTCAAGCAGTCCGCCTCGAGAGGGCCCCAGGAGGTCCTAAGAGGGCCCCAGGAGGCCCCAAGAGGCCCCCATGAGGCCCCAAGAGGCCTCCAAGAGGCCCTGAGAAGTCCCCCAAACAGCCTCCCAGACGCTTCAAAACTGCCTCCTAGAGGCGCCCGAAAGGTTTTGTTTGAGATCCCAACGAACGTCCAAGAAGCCCCAGACCCACAACCCAGGCACGGCGGCGGGATGGGCCGAAAGCCATTAGATCCGCCGCCCCCTGCTTGCAGAGGTGCACGGCGTGCTGGATGATTCAGGTTTTGGTTTTGGTTCTTTTTCTAAAAGAACTCCCCAGTGGGCTTCGGCCCGTCCCGCCGGCCACCCGCAAATTTCGGAAAACCCATCCCTCAATGCCCAAAAACTGCCGTTTCGCTCGGGACATCCTCAAAAAATCGCGAAGATGGCCCAAGATGGCCTCCAAGTCCGCCCGAGATGGTCCAAGACGGCCTCCAAAACGGCCCAAGAGAGTCCAAGACGGCCCAAGACGGCCCAAGAGGCCCCCCAGAGGCCTCCCAGACGGCCCAAGAGGCCTCCAAGAGGTCCTCCAGGAGAGTCCGAAGAGGCCAAAATCATTGATTTTCCATTGGTTTTTGAAGGATTTTGGCATTTGCGCCTTTTCGGCTCTCCGACGGCTCAAGACGGCCCAAGAAGCCCCCAAGATCGCCCAAGAGGCCCCCAAGAGAGCCCCATGATGGCCCAAGTGGCCTCCAAGATGGCCCCTAGAGGGCCCCAAGAGGGCCCAAGAGGCCTCCAACACGCCCAAGATGGCCTCCCAGACGCCCAAGATGGCCTCCAAGACGGCCCTGGAGCATTCCAAGCGGGCCCCAAGTCGGCCCATAGAGGCCCCCCAAACGGCTTCCGACGGCTTCAGACGTGCCAGGAACCCACCAAGATGGCCGAAGTTGGCTCGAAGCTGGCCCGAGACGGCCCAAAAAGCCCCAAAGATCGCCCAAAGCTTGCCCAAGAGGCCTCCAAGACGGCCAAGATGACCTTCAAGATGCCCACGTGTTCCCCGAAGGCTTTCCAAACCGATTCGGGGAACACGTGGTCCGATAGCTTGGCAGGTCTGGCCTCAACGTTCGGCCACATAGGCGCTTCCAAAAAGGCAGGGGGCGGCGGTGATTCGCCGTAGGCGTCTTCGATCCGCTGCCCCCTGTTGGCTTGCCACAGGGGTGCCCGGCGTGCTAGACCCTTTCGGTTTTGGCTTTTTTTTGTTTCCAGAAGAACTCCACCACTGGGGCTTCGGCCCGTCCCGCCGGCCACCCGAAAGGGATTTCAATTCCCAAACAAATCCTCCAAGACGGCTAAAGATGGCCTCCAAGATAGCCACGTTGGCCCAAGATGGCCTCCAAGACGGCCCGAGAGAGTCCAAGATGCCTTCAAGTTCGTCCAAGAAGCCTCCAAGACGGCCCAAGATGGCCCCAAGATGGCCTAAGACTGGCCGAGAGGCCTCCAAGAGGCCTCCAAGACGTCCTCCAGGAAGGCCCGAAAGGGCAAAGATCATTGATTTTCCTGCGCTTTTTGAAAGATTTTTGCATTTTCTTCTTATCAGCACTCCGACGGCCCAAGACGGCCCAATAGGCCCCAAACATCGTCCCAATAGGCCTCCAATATGGCCCCATGACAGCCCAAGAGGCCCCCAAGAGGGCCCCCAAAAGAACCCAAGACGGCCCAAGATGGCCCCGAAGACGCCTAAGTTGGCCTCCAAGACGGCCAAGATGGCCTCCAGGATGCCTCCAAGACGGCCAAGAATGCCTCCAAGACGGCGAAGATGGCCCCAAGATGCACCCAAGACGGCCCCAGATAGCCTCAAGATTGTTTTCGACTGCCCAAAAGGCTCGCAAGAGGCCTCCAAGACGGCCCAAGACCTGGTCCGATAGCTCGCCCGACTCCGCGTTCCCCGAAGGCTTTTAAAACCCATTCGGGGGACGCATGGCCCGATAGCTTGGCCTCAAACACAACTTTCGGCCACGCAGGCGCTTCCAAAAAGGCAGGGGGCGGCGGTGATTCGCCGTAGGCGTCTTCGATCCGCCGCCCCCTTTTGATTCATCACAGGGGTGCCTGGCGTGCTGAACCCTTTCGTTTTTTTTGTTTTTTTTTTTTTGTCCAACAAAACTCTCCATGAGGCTCCGGCCCAGCCCGCCAAGGTCCCGGAAAGGCCCGGAAAGTTTTCCTGGCCCAGACGGCTCCGAGACGGCCCAAGATGGCCTCCAAGATACATCCAAAACGGCCATGATGGTCTCCGTGACGGCTAATATGGCCCCGAGATGCCTCCAAGACGGGCCAATATGCACTCAAGACGGCCTAAGATGGCCTCAAGATGGCCCAAGACGGCCCAAGAGGCCCCCAAGAGGCCGCCAATACGGCCCAAGAGGCCTCCAAGAGGTCCTCCAGGAAGGCCCGAAGAGGCAAAAATCATTGATTTTCGATGGGTTGTTGAAGGTTTTTGGCATTGGAGCCTTTTGGGCTTTCCGTCGGCCCAAGACGGGCCAAGACGCCCCCAAGGTCGGCCCAAGATCGCCCAAGAGGCCTCTAAGATGGCCCCATGACGGGCCAAGAGGTCCCCAAGACGGCCCCAAGAGGGCCCCAAGACGGCCCCAAGACGGCCTCCAAGACGCCCAAGATGGCCTCTAAGACGGCCCTGGAGCATCCCAAGAGGGCCCCAAGTCGGTCCAGAGAGGCCCCCAGGACGGCTTTCGACGGCGTCAGACGGGCCAGGAGCCCAGCAAGATGGCCGAAGTTGGCTCGAAGCTGGCCCAAGAGGCCTCCAAGAGGGCCTCCAAGAGGGCCTCCAGGAAGGCCAGAAGAGGCCCAAATCATTAATTTCCCAAGAGTTTTTGACAGAGTTTGACATTTGCTTCTTTACGGCCTTCCGACGGCCCGAGACGGCCCAAGAGCCCCCAAAGATCGCAAGATGGCCTAAGGCTGGCCAAGAGGCCCCCAAGAGGCCTCCAAGACGTCCTCCAGGAAGGCCCGAAAGGACAGACATCATGTCTTTTCCTTAGGTATTTGAAGGATTTTTGCATTTTCTTCTTATCAGCACTCCGACGGCCCAAGACGGCCCTACAGGCCCCAAACATCGTCCCAAGAGGCCTCCAATATGGCCCCATGACAGCCCACGAGGCTCCCAAGAGGGCCCCAAGAAGAGCCCAAGACGGCCCGAGAGAGTCCAAGAAGCCTCCAAGACGGCCCAAGATGGCCCCAAGATGGCCTAAGACTGGCCAAGAGGCCTCCAAGAGGCCTCCAAGACGTCCTCCAGGAAGGCCCGATAGGGCAAAGATCATTGATTATCCTTCGCTTTTTGAAAGATTTTTGCATTTTCTTCTTATCAGCACTCCGACGGCCCAAGACGGCCCAATAGGCCCCAAACATCGTCCCAAGAGGCCTCCAATATGGCCCCATGACAACCCAAGAGGCCCCCAAGAGGGCCCCAAGAAGAGCCCAAGATGGCCCCGAAGACGCCTGAGGTGGCCTCCAAGACGGCCAAGATGGCCTCCAGGATGCCTCCAAGACGGCCAAGAATGCCTCCAAGACGGCGAAGATGGCCCCAAGATGCACCCAAGACGGCCCCAGATCGCCTCAAGATGGCTTTAGACTGCCCAAAAGGCTCGCAAGAGGCCTCCAAGACGGCCCAAGACCCCTCCAAGACGCCATCCAGGACCCGAAAGGACAGACATCATGGGTTTTTGCAGGATTTTTGCATTTTCTTCTTATCAGCTCTCCGACGGCCCAAGACAGCCCAAGAGGCCCCAAACATCGCCCCAAACATCGTCCCAAGAGGCCTCCAATGTGGCCCCATGACAGCCCAAGAGGCCCACGAAGAGCCCCAGATGGCCCAAGACGGCCCCGAAGACGCCGAAGATGGCCTCCAAGACGGCCAGGATGGCCTCCAAGACGGCCAAGAATGCCTCCAAGACAGCGAAGATGGCTCCAAGATGCACCCAAGACGGCCCCACATGGCCTCAAGATGGCTTTAGACTGCCCAAAAGGCTCGCAAGAGGCCTCCAAGACGGCCCAAGAGCCCTCCAAGACGTCCTCCAGGAAGGCCCGAAAGGGTCAAAATGGCCTCCAGATGGCCCAATTGAGCCCCAGAGTGCCTCAGGAGGCTCCCAAGAGGACTCTTCCTCCCTTCTCCTTTTTCCTCACTCTCCTTCCTTTCCCCAACCTCCTCCACGTGTTCCTCGAAAGCTTTCCAAACCGATTCGGGGAACACTCGTTCCGAAAGATTGGCAAGGATCTGACCCAACCTTCGGCCAGCAGGCCCCAAGACGCATCCAAAAGCTCACAGGAGCCCCCAAGGGGCCCCGAACACGCCGATTCCTCACTCTCCTCCTCTTCCCCGTCCTCCCCCACGTGTTCCCCGAAGGCTTTCCAAACCGATTCGGGGAACACCTGGTCCGATAGCTTGGCAGGGTTCTGGCCTCAACGTTCGGCCACACAGGCGCTTCCGAGAAGGGCAGGGGGCGGCGTTGACTCGCCGTAGGCATCTTCGATAACAGGGGCGCCAATGTGTCGGACCGGCGCAGAGTCACCAACGCATCTCGCAGGGCGGGCGCGAGGACGCGAGATGCAGCGGCTAACGTCGCAGCAGCACGTGCCCCTGAGGCGAACGCGAGAGGTAAGGCTACTTCTGCCAGCACGCGGTCAACTGCTTCCGGACAGATCGGCACATGGGTGCTAGTCGCTGCGGCCAAAAACATGCTCCCTCAGGGAGAATCGAGCAGATAGGTTCAAGCGAGATTACTGCATATTCGCAATCACGGGGGGCAATACGATAGCTACCGAAATGTGCGCGACTACGCATGCGATTCCTGCCACTGGTGCCTTCGGTGGAGCTCTCTGTGGAGCCTCAGAGGGGTGCGCCGAAATGGTGTGGGCCACGAAACGTTTGATGGGGTTCGCCGACATGGTGTGGAGAAGGTATGCGAATCTGGCCGCAGGGGCCTTGGGTGGAGTTCTGGTGCGGCCACAAAACGTGTGAGGGGTGCTCCGAAATTGTGAAGAGAAGGTATGCGAACCTAGCCATTGGGGCCTTCGGTGGAGCTCCCTGTGGGGGCACGGAAGGGTGTGCCGAAATGGTGTGGGCCACGAACCATTTGAGAGGTTCGCCGAAATGGTGTGGAGAAGGCATGGGAACCTAGCCACGGGGCTCTTAGGTGGAGCTCCCTAGGGCGCCACGAAACGTGTGAGGGGTGCGCCGAAACGGTGTCGAGAAGGCATGCGAGCCTGGCCACTGGGGCCTGAGGTGGAGCTCTCTATGGCTATTGGGCCATGAAGCGTGTGAGGGGTGCTCCGCAATTGCTTTTGGAGAAGGCATGCGAACCAAGCAGCTGGGGCCTAGGCAGCCTTGGGTGGAGCTCTATATGGGGCCACGAACCGCATGAGGGGTTCGCAGACATTGTGCGGAAAAGGCACGCGAACCTAGCCACTTGGGCCTTAGGTGAATCCCCCTATGGGGAGGCGAAGCGTGTGAAGAGTGCTACAGAAGGGTGTGGAGAAGCCATACGACTCTAGCTACTGGGGCCCTCGGTGGAGCACCCTCGGGCTAGGGTGCCACAAAGCGTGGGAGGGGTGCGGCGCAATGGGTGTGGAGGAGGCACTGGAACCTAGCCACTGGGGCCTTAGGTGGAGCTCCCTATGGAGACATGGAGCGCGTGAGGGGTGCGCCGAAGTTGAGATGCGGAGGAAAGGAGCATGGATGCGAGGAGGAAGGAGGGGGAGGAGGGAGGAACGCGGGGCGCTGTGTCTTCACAACGAGGACCAACATCATAATATTGGTGGACGCGAACCAATGTCTCGTTGACATGTGAGCTCAGGAATGAGATGAAACCGTAGCCAAGGGACGCACATACGGCCTTTTGGGGAACTCTCCCTTGCTGGCTCGTCTGTCCTTTGCTAGGGTGGTGCTGAACACCATTGGCCACACTTGTGTAGGCGCACTTCGGGCAAAAAAACGCATTCGACGCGTGGGATCCCTCATGTCTGTGTGCGAATATATATATATATATATGAAGATATTCACAAAGATATCCATACTTCTGTACATGTGCACACATACACCAGAACCACGCGCGCGCTTTGCGCGCGCTTAGTTTCTCGCAAGCCCTAGTACTAGACTTTGTAACTTTGTCATTCAGTATGCGATGCCCCGGACCGCCAGGAATTACATGCGCACTGGGAAGGCGCCCGCTGCCCCTTCATATCTTACTCTGTCGCCTCCTCGTCCTCCAGCTGCCCCCTCTGCTTCTGAGCTCAATTCAATTTGTGGCCCCTCGTTCTACACAGGTGGGACCTGGGGCCCCTCCTGAGATGAAATCTTGCTGCGCATCTTGGGGCGTTCATGGGCCGCCTTCAAACACTTTTCGGCGCTCTAGGGCCGCCCCGTAAGAATCCCTAGCCCCATCCTGCGGGAAGGGGCGTGGCGTTGTCTGGTTGGTGCGATGGCTTTGAAAAGGTTATTCGGGCCCTCTTGGGGGCCTCTTGAGGATCTTCGGGCCAGCTTGAGGCTGACGGGCTTCTGGTGCTGTCTTGGACGCTCTTCAAGCCGAAAAGGCGAGCATGCTGACATCATACCGAACCACTGCTGCTCAAGAAAATGTTGGCCTCTTCGGGTGCTCTGAGATATCTTGGAGGCCTCTTGGAGGCCTCCTGTCTTTGTTTTTTCTGGGGTCCTCCCTGGGAGGTGCCATGGGGCTTCCTGGAAGCATACGCTGGTGTCTGAGGATACCTCATCGGGCACTCTTGGATCCTGTGGGAGGGAGGTTGGGCGCCTGGGAAGGGCTGGGGAAGAGAGAAAGGGCGGGACTTTCCAGCCTCCAGGATGGCGCCAAACAGCTCCAGGAAGGCGCCAAAAAGATCACCTGCGACATTGTCCGACACTGACAGGTCGATGATTTGGTGTCCAGAAGGGCAGCCTGGGGGCGTGCAGGACCAATGGGGGGCGATACTGCAGCCACTCATGCGCCAGGAACCCAAAGTAAGGCCCTTGGGGTAATCTTGGAGGTCTTTTGGGGCGCCTTGGACACGATGAAACGGGAAAGACTAAAAATGCAAAACATGCATTTGAACTTTGCTATGTCTCAATGATGTTGACCTTTGCGGTCGACTCCACGGACTTCCGGGACGGTCCCACTGAGCTCAAGGAAGGCTCCGCATCTCCAGGACATCGCCCGACACTGAAGGGGTGGATTTGCTGTCCAGAAGGGTCGCCGCGGAGGGTCCGGGGCCGTCGGGGCCGCCGAGGCTTCCACACCGACCCTGGGCAGCGATTTGGGCACCTGGGATCGGATGTCCCTACTGGGCTAGTCGTGGCTTCTGTGCGGCTTCTTGGCGACTCTTTGGTGGAAGTTTCGAATGCCTGTCACTCCCATACATGTGTATCTATGTCTGTATGTATGTATGTATGTATGTATGTATGTATGTATGTATGTATGTATGTATGTATGTATGTATGTATGTATGTATATGTATATGTATATGTGTATATGTATATGTATATGTGTATGTGTATGTGTATGTGTATGTGTATGTGTATGTGTATGTATGTGTATGTGTATGTGTATGTGTATGTATGTGTGTATGTATGTATGTATATATATGTATATATATATATATATATATATATATATATATATATGCCACTGTGCCCTCAGGCACGAGTTGGAATGTCTTCAGGTCCTTGGCAACATGTTCTTGTAAACGGCTCACAACCTGGGGTTATGGGCGCTACCAGGCGCTCTTGTGGGGTCCCCGTGTGATTTTTTGAAATGCCGAAAGCGCGTTGTTCGGGACGCGCGTGTTCAGCATGGTTCCAGATGGCCCCGGGGACCATCCTGCAGCCCTCTTGGGTGCTTCTTGGGCCGTCTTGGAGGCCCTGGAGGGCGGCCAGGGGGGCCCAAATCGGCAAAATCTGTTGGGTTGTTCTCGCGTTGCCACCTTTTCGGCTTTCAGAGTGTCCAGGAAGGCCCAAGAGGGGCCCCAGATCGCCCAAAAACGGCCCACGAGCCCCCAAAAGGGGCCCAAAGGGCCCCCAAGACGGCCCCAAGAGGGGCCCAAGACCAGCATACGAATTGACATTGTGAGCCTTCCGCCCCAAGATTCCCCCAGAAGGCCCCGAGGTGCGCCCAAGAGGCCCCGAGAAGCACAAATCAGGCCCCACGAAGCCCCCAAGACGCTCCAAAACACTGCCAAAACCGCCTCCAAGAGGCATCCGGGAGGCCTGCCAATAGACCTGGCCCGGCACAGAAACGGAAAGAGCGCTGCAGCAACAGAAACCGAAATGACTCACACCACCGTTCGTACCGGGAGCCTTGGCGTTGAGAGCTGGTTACGTCACCCCTCGCTCTTGGGAGCCTTGGGGTTCAGAGATGGTTGCGTTGCCGCCCGTTCCTGAGCCTTGGCTGGGCCTCGGTGTCAGGAACTTGTTGCGTCACCGCTCTCTGCCGGGAGCCTTGGTCTTATCAGCTTTTTGACGTCACCGTTCGCTCTTGGAAGCCTTGGTGTAAAGAGCTTTTTGCGTTACCGATCGCTCTGGGCGTCTGTGGGCCTTCGTGGGAGTCCTATTGGGGCCCTTTCTGGGCCCTCCTGGTGGCCTCTTGGGGGCCTCTTGGGGCTTCTTGGGGGTCTGTGGGGGCCTCCTGGGAGCGTCTTGGGGCGAAAGGCTAGACTTTCGGGTTCGAGGTCCCCCTCTTGGGGCCGTCTTGGGCGCCTCTTGGGCCGTCTTGGCGCCCGCTTGGGCCGTTTGGGGGGCCTCTTGGGAGCCTCTTGGGCCGTCTTGGGGCGGTCTTGGGGGCCTCTTGGGCCGTCTGCAACGCCGTGGCAGCCGAAAAACCTTAAATGCTAAACATGTGCGTTTTCCAATACAACATCTATGATTTTGGCCTCCTGGTGACCTCTTGGGACGCCTCTTGGGCCTTCTTGGGGGGCTCTTGGGGCATCCTGGGAGCGTCTTGGGGCGAAAAGCTAGACTTTTCGGTTCGTGGTCCCCCTCTTGGGGCCGTCTGGGGGCCCTCTTAGGCCGTCTTGGGCGCCTCTTGGGCCGTCTGGGGGCCCTCTTGGGCCGTTTTGGGGGCCTCTTGGGAGCCTCTTGGGCGGTCTTGGGCTCTTCTGGGGCGAAAAAAAAGAGAAATCAGAAACACATGCAAAAACCCGAAGAAGAACCTCCAAAGCGGCCATTCGAGCCAATCCGCTCCTGCTACGCCCCCCCCCATGGAACCCCCTTAAGGGGCTTCGCCCAACACACAACGTCATCGCTCGTACCTCGTTCTTTCCGTTATCCTCGCAGGCATCCAAGAGGCCTCTGACCTACAACCCAAGCGCGCTGGCGGGATGGGCCGACGGCCACTAGACCTGCTTGGCACGGGGACGGAAAGCGCACTTACTTTCAGAGCGCACGAGATCGCTGGCTCGTCCGCTCTTACACCTCTTATTGACTCCCTTCCCCTCGCTCTTGTCCTATCTCAGCCTCGGAGAATCGCGGAGCTTTCTTTGAGCGCGTTTCTTGTTTTGGAGGGGGCGGTCGGGTCGCGTTGCGTTTTCCGCGTTTGGGCTGCCAGCTTTCCAGAACCCCGCGTTTTCCTTGCGTGGACCGCTCGTTGTCCACGCGTTGCCGCCCGTCCCTGTGCCCTGGCGTCAAGAACTTATTACGTCGCAGCTCTCGCTTGGGAGCTTTGGTCTTATCAGCTCGATTACGTCACCTCTC